CCGGTTCAGGTACCCACCTTGGCAGTTCAGAGAAGAGCCTCTGACCCGGGCGGMCTGGTCTGAGCAGGGACTGGCTCCACAGCGGCATGGGGAAGAGGGAAGGGGCTGTGGGAGTCGCCAAGCCTTGCCCTGACCCTGCCGCCCGCCCACTGCTGTGTGTCTTGGGCTCTGCCAAGGTTTCAATCTGGCTCGTCCCCCCCAAAACTCATATGGAGGGTGCGTGCCCAGGGTCTGGGAGAGGTGATGAGACCTGTCAGAGGCGATGGGTGATTGATGGCTTTTTTTGTGGGAATGAACTCATACCCTTGGGGGACCTTATTGGTTACCTTTAGGGTAGGTTGTCAGGCTGGGCGTGGTGGCACACACCTGTAATTCCAGTGACTCGGGAGGCTGAGGCAGGAGGATCGCAACTTAGAGGACAGCCTCAGCGATTTAGACAGGTGCTAAGCAACTTAGCAAGACCCTGTCAAAAAATAAGAAAAGGGCTGGGGATGTGGCTCAGGGGTGAAGCACTCCTGGGTTCCGTCCCTGGTACAAATAAATAAATAAATACATAGGGGGTTGTCACAAAGCACCTGGCCCCTGCCCTTGCTCCCTTGAACCTGGGCTCTCTGCCACACATGTCCTCTCCCCTTCTGCTTTTCCATCTTTCGGCCATGTGTTGAGCAGCTCTTGGCATCACCAGAAGCCAAGTGGATGCTGTGCTGGGCTCGACGACTTCTAGACCCTGAGCCAAAGGAAACTTCTTTTCCATATAAATCATCCTGTCCCAGGTGTTCTATTATAGCAGCTGAAAACGGACTCCACCAGGATCTTTGACGAGGCTCTGTGTCCATTATAAGATCATAAAAATAGAATAAAACAGTGAGTTGGCAGGACGATTATGGACAGAAGACCTCACACAGCGATGACCACGGGCCCCACCTTTGCTCCTGCCGGGAGTCGGGCTGTTCCTGTCCTTCTAAGAGGATCTGCGCAGACCTTGAGGGTTTTCTGAGCCCCCCCCAGCTCCTCCCTTTCCCCAGGGGGACTGGACGCTGTGTCCTGGTTCTCATGCGTTCCACTGCAGGTGGCTTCGGGGCCCCCACCAGGACACCATCCATGGGCCCCCGATTTCCCCAACAGCCTCTTTTCTCCCAGGCAGGTGGCCCGGGGACAATTTGAAGGATGAGTGACAGTTCCTTAGGGCCTTGCTTTCTGGCACGACTCCCGTACCTCCAGAGCCGCAGGCTTCCCCCGAGGGAGCAGGGGCAGCTAGAGGCAGTGGCCTAGCCCTGAGCCTCAGCCTGCTCCTCAGTGGACGGGGACAGTGAGGGACAGATGCCTCTCGACACGGAGCAGGTGGACGCGGGGATCGTGGACCCTGGTGTGAGAGGAACGAGGCTCCGTGGGTTTGACTCTGGTGATAAAGTGGATTCACATCCTGTGCAGAATTTCTGGAGAAATGAAGAAGGGGAAAGTGAGGATCTCGTCATCTCTCCGAGAGAAGTCACCATTGCCACCGCTTCACTCTTTCTCTCCCTGGCACCTGGCTCCAAGGGCTCTCATGACCATGAAGTGAGATGAGATGTTCTCACCGAGTAGCAGAGCCCTGTGGATGGGAGGAGTGTGAACAGGCACGTTCATTTGTGAGCTCTACGACATGCGTTGTGCGCGTTCGCTCCTTTATTAAGMAAGAGGACAGACTCCATGTGTTGTCACCAAGGTGTGCGGGGGCGGGGAGCAGGTGGTCCTTTAGACGGTGCAGATCCAGGTCTGTGTTCTGAGGTGAAGGAGGGGGATGGCCGATGGCCAGTCACACACGCTGATCAGTAGATGCTTCCTGTTTATGAAGGCGGGTGCCGGACGCTGGTGCTTGCTGTCACAGTCTGTGAGCCCTGGCCACTGCCCGGGAGGGACCAGGAGGCTCTGCTCATCTTTAATGAATCAGAAAAAATAACAGTGCATTTCCCCCAGGGGCCGAGCGTCTCTGAGATCCACTGATCTGTGGGGTAAATATCGTGGCCTGGGTGACATGAACCTGGAGAGCCCGGCGGGGTGGGGGGCCAGGGCCACCGACACTGACCTGGGAGAGTGTCCTGCGCTTGCAGACGGCAGCGGGCCTCGGAGACAGACAGGCTCAGGGCGGAGAGACAAACAAACAACGGCTCTAAATGTTAACCTAATTGAACATCATGAGAGGAGACGGCTTAATTGCACTCATTAATTATCATACAAAACGCTTCCCGCGCGGCCACCTCGATGCCTGGCGCTTCTGGGGGAGCAGCCTGGGCTCAGGGAATGTGCGTTCCGGGTCACGCATCAGCGAGTGTCTGTCTGTCCGTCCATCCCCCGTCCTAGCCGGGTGCCTGCTGTGCACCAGACGCCGCAGGGTCAGGGTGGATCAGGTCCCTGCAGCAGAGGAAGCTCCATCCAGTCAGAAGGGGCAGTGGCTGGGCCTGGACCAGAGCCGGCACACAGTAGGTGCTCAGTAAACGTTCGTGGGACGGATGGATGTTTGATGAACAGTCGGCGGATCCGTGACCCACACCAGCCTGTACGGGGGCCGCGTGTCTGTGACAGCGTCCGTACCACCACACAGCAGGCTCGTGTCCCTCTGGGCACCTGTCCGTCTGTGGGCCTCTGCTGCGGGCCCTGGGCATCATGTTAGTGGTGGCCAGCCCTCGGGGTCCACGGCCCCTTGTGCGGGGGTGAAGAAGGAGGGGGTGTCCTACGTGGCCCCTCTCCTGTGTCCTCCTCCCTGGTCTCGGGGGTCTTGGTGGGGCCTGGTTCCATCTGCCCCAGGGAGGCCGCTGCGTCCTGTCCTTAGTGACTCAGTCTCTGCCCTCAGCAGCCTCTGCTGGGTGTCCAGGGAAGCCGGGGGGTCTGCTGGTTGCTGGCCACACAATGGCTGGGCTCTCAGGCCGCTCCTTGTGCATCCTGTGGAGTCTGATGCAGCCCCAGCAGATGGGGCCCATAGAAGGTGGGTGCTAGTGGCAGGTCCCGGGTCCTTGCCCCTGGTCTATGGATGGCTTCCCTGTTCCTGGCCTCCCCCTCCGTCCAGTGGATTCATGCCCCTGGCCACCCTTGCTTGTCACCCCTGTCTTCTCTCTGCGGGGTTCTGGAGCCGGAGTCCTGCCCTCCAGGCTCATGACTGCTGTGTGACCTTAGCAAGTCTCCTCCATGATGTAAGGACAGTATGTCCCCTTCCAGTCTCCTTACCCTCCTCTGAGAACAGAATGATACCAATGCCACCATTCACCGAGCTTCCCACTGGACCAAGTCCATTTACTCCCCAAAAAGCCCTTTGAAGGAGGGATGATTGCCGCCCTCCTTTTACCAATGAGACAACAGAGGGTCAGAGAGGTTGAGTCACTTGCTGAAGGTCACACAGCATTGAGCAACAGAGCACTTGTCTCTGTCCCTCTCGTCCACTTACCAGGAGGCTCCCTCAGGGTTGAATTTCAGACATTTGAGGCTACTGCGTGATGCCCACACGGGCACGGTGCACCTGAGCAGGGCTGGGAAGACTCGGACGGCCCCTCCTCAGGCCGCCTCTGCTTCCCGCCGAACCCTGCTGTTCTCCACAGCCCGGCCTGGCCCTGGGACTTTCTCAGCCTTTGCCAACAGCCTCTTCCTCTCTCTCCAGAATTAGAAAAGACCCACAGTCACTTGACGGTCACAATGACAAGGACGGAGCAGCCAACCTGCCAAGTAGGGCTGAGTGTGTCCCTGTAACAGGGAGCAGCCCCATCCTCCCAGCCTCCCCTGGGGCGTTGCAGAGCCAGAGAGCCAGGAGGGTGATGTACGATCTCAGCTCTGCTCCTCACCTGCCCCAGTGACCCTCTCTGGCCTCAGGTTCCAGAAAAAAAAAAATAGATTCCAGGCCCAGAGAGGGCAGCGAGCTGCTCCCAGTCACACAGCCAGTGGGTTCCCGGGAGCTGGGATCTGACGGTGAACCCTCCCCCCTCATCAGGCGCGGGTCCCTTTAACACAGTGCAAATGAGCTTGGCACCTGGTCCCTGTGCGCGGCTGCCTGGTGGCCTGGGTCCGCGTGTGGTCCTCAGTTCTGTGGCTTCACCTGGTTTCCCAGAAGCCTTTCCCACCGCCACCATCCTCAGGGCTCGCGTTAAGGTCTGCCTCATGGCATCCAAGGGACCCGCGGTGACTTCCCTCACCGTGGCCAGTGCTGGCCACGGTGCCTCTCAGCCCCTCCCCGCGTCCACAGCACCGCTCCCTGCCTCCGGGGGCTCAGAGCGTGGCCTCCCTTTTGATTTGTCCCGTCGGGATTCGTTTCCAGAACCTGGATTCTGGGTCTAGCCCGGGGCAGGCCCAGCGCTGGGGACAGTTGGGCCACACGGTTCCCCCTGCATTTTATTCACTCAATGCCAGCCGCACCCAAGTTGTGACATGGGCAAACGTCCCAGTGAGGGCAAGATCACCCTGCGCGGAGGGTCACGGCATTAAGGGAGCGGGAAGAAGCGGGCTGCCCGCGGCGGTCAGAGATTCTCCAGAGTCGGAACAGAATCTGATTAGGTCTGCGACGGGGAGCACTGAGCAGCAGAATGAGCACTAAGAGATGATCACGCTCAAATTAAGGCTTCACATCCTCAGGCCTGGGTTGCCGTCCGTGAAATGGGAGCCATCATCATGACCACATGCAGGTTGGGGGCGTGAGGGCAGGAGCACTGCACGCCGTGCTGGCCACAGGAGGCCCTCCATAAGTGCCAGCCCCGTGGGTCTGCTGCTGGGTTTTCCATCTTGGCTTTTGCTGCTGCTGAGGACAGAAAGGTGGGGGCATCCAGGGGACAGAGTGGCAAGGAAACCGTCCCTGCTGCACCAGGTCCATCCCTAGGCTGTGCTGGAGGTCCCCAAACACCCACCCCCTCTGTCCGATGTGGAGCGTCCTGGGGTCCCACAGGCTCCTCTGCAGGCAGAGCCCCTGGTGGCCGGCTCCGGCAGGGGCTCCGTGAGCACTCGGGGGTGGGTGGCTCAGCATGGGCTGTGCTCTGTGTCCCCAGGAGAAGTACGTGGAGGAGCTCGCCGCCGTGAGGCAGACCCTGCAGACGGACCTGGAGACGTCCATCCGGCGGATCGCCGACCTGCAGGCGGCCCTAGAGGAGGTGGCGTCCAGCGACAGCGATGCTGAGAGGTGACAGGCCGGGGACAGTGGGGGCTGGACACGGCAGGTGGGCGCCACCTCAGGAGCCTCAGGTCTGCAGTGGGCCTGGGGCCGTGGCTTCAGGGGGACCCACAGGCTGGAGGTGTGGCTGGCCTGCTGGGATGGGGACAGGCGGGAGCTACCCCGCGAGTCTCCTGATCATCCCTGAGTCCATCTGGCACGGCTTGCCGAGCCCCGGGCCAGGGCACGTGGTGGACAGTGATCGGGGGAAGCCCGCCCGTGGGGTTGCGGGAGCTGAAGGACGTCGTGGACGAGCGTCAGGGGGGACAGTGCTGGGGACACAGTGTGAGCTGAGCTCCTGCAGCCAAGGGGGGCCGCTCCACAGAAGCAGCTCCAAGAGGCAGATGTAGAGGGCGAGGGTCGGGAGGCCACCCAAGGTCAAGGTCAGCGCCTCGGTCCTTCCTCAGAGGATGGCGTGCTTCCTGCCGCAGGCCGCGGGTCAGCACTCGGTGGAAGAGCCCGCCGTGCCCCAGGCCGTCCACCCTGCGGGTGGCCAAGCGTCGTCTTCCCAGGCGCTGCCCGGCCATCTCAGCTGTCCTTACCACAGCTCCCATCTGGCTGCCCATCTTGGCCCCAGCCCACCCCTGGCAGCCCAAGGAGCAGGAGAGGCTTTCTGTGCCTGGCCTTGCACTAGGGGCCTGCAGATCGCCCACCACCCGCCAGCCACCGGCCACCAGCCACCTACAGGCCACCCGCCGCCCGCAGGATGAGACGCTGCCTGAGTCTCACCCCTCATCTGCAAAGTGACCGTCCTTCCTGGTCTTTCCCTTGGCAAGGCTGGTTGTGCTGCAGCCCGAGTGGCCAGACCTCAGACCTTGGGGTGCCACCTTCTGTCCCTGGGAGGACCCTGCTCTCAAGGCCAAGGGCACACGGCCCAGTAGCAGAGCCTGACCCAGGGCTGCCGTCGCCTCCTTCGCCTCCTCCTGGCAGGGGGTGCAGGGGCTGCTCTCCTGCCGCAGTGTGGTGGGGCCCGGGAAGGGAGGCCCAGAGCGCTGGCAGCCAGCTCTGGTTAGCCACCGGAGGGACCAGACACCTCTGTCAGGAAGACCTGTGTCACCAAAAAAGAAACACAACCCAACCCAACGCAAAGCACACTCCAACACGGGGGACTTGCTCTATTTCCCCCAAATTTATTTGCATTTTCTAAAACTTGCAGGATGAACGGACACACACACGCACCCCTGGCCGTGTTAGAGCCCACATCAGGAGATTTTGCTCCTACAAGTTACGGACTTTGAACCCCTTATTTTGATTAATTAATTAATTAATTTCTGGTACTGGGGATTGAACTCCAGGGACCTTGACCCCATCCCCAGCCCTATTCTGTATTTTATTTAGAGACAGGGTCTCACTGAGTTGCTCAGCACTTCGTTGTTGCTGAGGCTGGTTTTGAACTTGCGATCCTCCTGCCTCAGCCTCCCGAGGTGCTGGATCATTTACCACTGTGCCAGGCTTCAGTGCCTAATTCTAGAAAGTCTTGCAGTCCTGGGCTGGTCCTGGCTACATGGAGAGCTGTCACCTCCAACTCTCCCAATAAAGATGCCTGTGCTGGGCAGCAGTGTAGCAGACGCCATGTGGATCTGAAGCCTCGTGTTCTGAAGACAGAGCGTGGCCTCAAGTCTTCACTTAATGCAAAAGGGACTTCCGAGCACATCACTGTCCCCTGCTAGTTTGCACAGCCGCCAAGCTGCAGGTGAAATCGCAACTAGTGACATTGCCGTGGCTCTCAGCTCAGGACTCCATTTAGGATCCCCCTCCACCACCCCCTGAGCCATTTTATCAGCATCGGACAGAGCCTGCACCTGCGATTACAAAGCCTTTGTCCACGGGACTTGCTGGGTGCCGGGCGGCTGTTCCGTGAATGGAAACTCCAGAGCATTTGGATTCACGATCAGGGGAAGGAATGGCTCTGGGTCCTGGGGTCTCTGGCCAGTGCAAGACATTTGAGCCATTTTCCAAATGCACAGCGGAGGTTTGCTTTTGTAACAATTGAAGGTGACAAGGACGAAGGACGGTGGGAGAGGCAGAGGGGCAGCCCAGTGTGGGGTCCCAGCAGAGGGCATGAAGGAGAGCAGGGCTGACTTCTCACCCAGGGTGAGGGTCACTTCAGAGTCTGCCTCTAGGGGGAGACTAGAGGTGGTGCCTTGGGGGACCTCCCTCACCTCGTCCTGTGGAGACCCCAGACCTGCCTCCCCTCCAGCGCACCCTCCACTCTGGTGCATCTCTGCTGGGTTCCAGCTCTGGGACCCAGGAAGCAGCCTCAACTCCAGATTCCTGTCGGCCTTTCGTGCTCTTCTGCCTCTGGGACCTCAGATCTCCCCCCTGCGGGGCTTCTGACTTACCTTCCTGGGTCTGGAACTTCCACACAGTTCCTCCAGCGGGAAGGGACCCCACGTGGGGCTCAGGGGCCGTAAGGCGTGGAGGGACTGTGCCCACCAGGCACTGTGCCTGGAAATGCCAGGGCAGCGGGCAGGACAGCGGCAGTCGGAGGTGGGGAAGAGCTGGGGAGGCTGTGACTCCATCTCTCTGACCCTCAGTCTCTTCATCTTTGAGACGGATGAGTAATAAGAAGTGAAAAAGTATAACTCCTTAGCAGGCACCTCGTGCACCGGGGAGGCTCGCCCCCAGCCGCGTTCATTCATTCGTTTGATGAATCCTTGCCAAGCACCTGGTGCAGGCCAGACGCCCTCCTGGGCACTCGAGTTGTTCCACTGGCTTCTTGTCATCATTCCTGCAGATGAAGGGGCATCGGGCAGCTTCCCTAAACCCAGGCAGGAGCTCACGTTCAGCAGCCCTGGCTCAGCTGCTGAGGAACAGGGACGAGCTCAGGACGGATCTGCCTCTGTGGGGCCTGCATTCTGCGCGCGCGCGTGTGTGTGTGTGTGTGTGTGTGTGTGTGTGTGTGTGTGTGTGTGTACGAGCGTGCGCATGCATGCGTGCCCGTCTGTGGATACAGGAATGAATAAGTGGCTCAGGAGGCCAAGGCAGGAGGATCAGGAGTTCCAAGCCAGCCTCAGGAATAGCGAGGCCCTGAGCAGCTCAGTGAGACCCTGTCTCTAAATAAAACACAGAACAGGGCTGGGGTGGGGCTCAGGGGTGGAATGATCCCGAGTCCAATGCCCGGTACAAAAAAAAAAGAAAAGGAAAAAGTCAGAAACAGGAAACCAAACAGGGCAGGAGTCCCAAGCCCCGCCCCAGGCTACTTCTCATTTCCCACTGTCCTTGAGCGGCCCGTGGCCCTGGCTCAAGGCCTCAGTGTGGGTTAGAGAGTGAAACCCAGCATGGATTTCAAATCACATCCCAGGAATGGGAACACCGGGCTGGGGAGCTGTCTGCGCAGGAGTCTCAATACATTTCAAAGAATCAACACTCACAAAGCTCGCTCTCCCTCCGCAGGCCAAGTCCGCGGATCAGCAACCACGAAAAGAAGTCCGAGTGGTTCCAGGTTGTAGATCCACCATCCAGTGCTGCCCCCAGCTTCTGCCCCTCAGTGCCAGCCAGGATGCTTCCCCACTTGGCATCTCCACAATGACCTGGGTCCCCCCTCCCTACCCGGGATTGAACTCAGTGCCCTCGACCACTGAGCCCCATCCCCAGCCCTGTTCTGTGTTTTATTTAGAGACAGGGTCTCCCTGAGTTGCTTAGGGCCTCCCTGTGGCTGAGGCTGGCTTTGAACTCGGATCCTCCTGCCTCAGCCTCCTGAGCTGCTGGGGTGACAGGCATGTGCCACCATGCCGATGATCTGGGTTTTTAATTGTCCCTTTCCTGGAGTAACAGGTTTGGATTGGGTCCGAGGGCTGGGTTTGTGATACTTCTCCAACTGAGCTCCGTGGGGATTCAGACCCACTCGAGGGGAGAGAGGGGAGCTCCAGCTCCAGGTGAGGTTCCCTGAGACACCTGTTCACGTTAGGAACCGTCACCCTGGGCCGTGTTGGGAATCGGGCCTGAGTGCAGCGGGCCTTCCCGCCTGGACACGTGGCCTCGTGCTCGGAAGGCCAGGTGGCGGTCCGTGCTGCCTGCAGCCAGGGGTGGTTGTGACTTGGACTGCGGCTCCAGCCTCCTTAGATGAATGGAGGGGTGCTTTAAGTGGGTCCCCCAGGCCTGGAGCGAGCGCATTATCCGCGGGGGGCGCTGTGCTGGCTGACACACTGGCCCCCTCTATTCCTGGCTCAGAGTCTGCGGCCGCCCTGTGTCGCTCCAGGTGGGAGTTGGGTGGTTGTAGAGGGTGAGTGCCCTCTGACCTCTGGGTCCGCTCACAGCACACAGTTCTAGCTGGGTCAATGGGAGATGAAGGTTCTGGAAAAGCGTCCTCTATTGCCGGATCGAGTGTGAGCGGGACCTTTCCCAGCACACATTCTCTTCTAACCTGGCTAAAATGGGGAGCACGCGTAGAGAGGTCTGGGCCTAACTGGAGCTGGTGGCTGCACCTGGGGACACACTTCTAAGTTACCGTATTCACAGATGGACCCACACAGAACAGTCCCCTGCTTCGTGGCGGGGTGGCCCTGGGAACGCCGAAGGCCCCTTGTGACAACTCTTACTGCTGGTTCCCCCCCAGGAGAGTGGGCATGCCCAGGCTGGGAGCAGAGCGTGAAAGGCTTGTGCGTGGACCCAAGAAGGTGTTGACCTGGTCCAGGGAGCCCCGCAGGACCCTGGTGCAGAGACACGCGTTTAGACGCTGCCACCCGGGGACCTGGCCTTCTGAGCTGGTCCCCAGCCAGATGCCAGCTGATGGGATGCACAGGGCTGGAGCTGCAGGACAACAGGCATCAGCGCTGCGGCATCCCAGGGAGGGACATAAGCTGAATGATGGGCACTTCTCGGGTGGCCTTCCCAGGTGCCAGGTCCTAGGCTGCCTGTTGAGCGTATCCAGCACCCACCACGACTCTCTGAGGTTCCTGTCACTGTCAGATGACAGATGAGGAAACTGGGGCTGGAGGAGTCAGGAGCCTTGTCACCAGGGTCACGGAAATGAGGGAGCCAACTTGGGTTTTGAGGCCGACCTTGTCACCCAGCTTCTAAGAGGAAGCTCCTCTGTCCTGAGAAACAGACCCTGTTTGCCCCCTTCCCTTGTCCAGGTCTGAGCACTGGGCCCGGTCCTGGCCTGTGTGTCTGTCACCAGGAAACAGGGGCCAGTGGATCCCTGGGCTCCTGCCGAGGCCACATTTGCATTCAGACTGCAGGCCCCTGGCGAAGGCTCGCCCCCAGGAGACCTTTAGTCAGTCAGTCCTCTGTTTACAGACTCTTGGCCCAAGGACCTTGTTATTATTTCTTTTAAGCCATGTGCTCTCAGAGAGAAGGAAACACTGCTCACCAGTCAGGAGAGGAGAGGTCCAGTCCCAGGTGCCACCAAATGGGTCAGTGCCACGGACAGGTCAGCTGCCCTTTCTGGCCTTGCTGGCCCACTTGACAGATAGCAATCAAGGGACGCCTCTGTGTTAGGACTTAGGGAGACAAGGAGACTCCACCTGCCCCACTGAGCTGGTACCCGAGAGACTCTTCACATAATGAAGGGGTCGATAGGTTTCTAACACCTTCTTTTTTGCAGGGGGTGTACCAGGAATTGAACTCAGGGACACTCCACCACTGAGCCCCATCCCCAGCCCTATTTTGTGTTTTATTTAGAGACAGGGCCTCATTGAGTTGCTTAGGGCCTCACTATTGCTGAGGCTGGCTTTGAACTCATGATCCTCCTGCCTCAGCCTCCCCAGCTGCTGGGATGACAGGCGCGTGCCAGCCTCCATGCCTGGCTTTAACACCCTCTTTTAAAAAGAAACCACTTGGCTTTTTACACCAAAGCAAACTCTTACAGAATGTTCCAGCCTAGGCTAAGATACAGCTAAGGATAAGATTGTAACAGGGAGGAAACCCGGGCTGATTTCTCCTCCCTGGTTCTTCCCCCGCCCCCTCAGGCCCAGTGGTGAGTCCCAGCACCTGGGGACACTGCTGTGCCCCATGTGGTACAAGCCCAGTACCTGCTGGGACCAGTGACCCATGACTTGTCCCAAGTCAGCGTGGTGGCTGTTTCTGCCCCACGCCTTTTAATGCTTCTCAGGAGCAGACAGCAAACCTCCCTGGCTTCAGCCTCCCTCCCGCCCAGGCCCCCACTCCAGACCTCCCCATGAAGGTGTCAGGTGGCTTCCACACTGACTAACTCACCCAGTGAATGGGGACACGGTTCCCAGGGGCTCACGTAGCTCCCGGCCGTGCTTAGTGCAGCCTCCTTATTTCAAACATGACCCTGTTTGGTTGGAGACTTCTCACCTGCGGATCACCTGGGGTCCAGGCTGGGCGCCACCTTGGCTCTGGGCGACGTTTCCTCTGCGTGGGTAGACAGATCACCTGGCAGCCCTTGGCCTCTGCCAGAGCCTCTGCCCCGAGTCAGTGATGCAAGTTCACAGGCAGATGGAAGAGGGGTGCGGGCCCCCGGGAAATGTGGGTAGCCAGGCCGCTCCCCCAGCAGCTCCTTGAACTTGTCCTTATGGTGGCTCATTTCCAGAGGCAGAGCGTAGGAGGGGATGAGTGTGGGATGTTCCCCAGCTTTTCTTTTTTTATAAGATTGACACTTTAGAGATTTTGCCTTTTATGACTGACTGACTGACTGACTGATTGATTTTTGGATACTGGGGATTGTACCCACGGGTGCTTAGCCACTGAGCCCCATCCCCAGCCCTTTTTCATATTTGATTTAGAGACAGGGTCTCTCTAAGTTGCTTAGGGCCTCACCAAGTTGCTGAGGCTGGCTTGGAGCTGGCAATCCTCCTGCCTCAGCCTCCTGACCAGTGGGATTTCAGGCGAGGGCCACGCCCCTGGCTGGCTTTGCCGTTTTGTTTTCTTTTTTAACCATAGTTGAACAACGTGGTGATGGGTTGAGTGTGCTCCTGCTTGTTCACCATGCGGGACACTGGCCCGGCCAGCTCAGATCTGCCTGTTAAGACGGAAACCAGAACCAAGACGAGACCCTGTAGTGGAGTCCCCGGGAACCAGACGGCAGATCCCAAAGGAGCACTTACTAAGGGGACCCTTTGCAAGGCTGTGAGGTGGCCATGGAGGCCTGGGGATGGACCCGGCAGCACAGGGGTCAGCAGCAACTGCCACCAGGGCTGAAGGGGCAGGAGAGGGACCCAGGGAGAAGGGAAGGGGGGAGGGGCGGGAGGGGGAAGGGGGAAGGGAAGGGGCAGCGAGGGACAGGGCTCCCTGGCAGGAGGGCTGTGGCCTTGGGTGGAAGGACACGGCCAGCACCAGGAGACGCCTAGAAACCCATCCCCGAGAAGGAAGGCGCCGCGCCCTCTCCTCCTGCGATGCCCTCCGCCCCAGCCAGGTCCTCCGCTGGTTGAGGCCCAGGGGAGGCCACGGGGGCAGGGAGGCCACAGACGAGGTTGCGGGGATCAGCGCAGGCGCTTGGCAGAGCCGGGTGGGACCGTGAGGGACCCGGGAGGCCGCTCAGCAGGGTGGGCGGTCCCCAGCGCCGGGGAGGAGCCTGCGCAGGGTGGGGTCTGAGGCCTGCGCCACCCGCGGGCTCCCAGGGCTCTGCGCTCCTGGAGGGTGGACAGTGGCCAGGACTTGGCTCCAGAGTGCCTCGGTCAGCTGTGGGACGACAAAGCCTCCCGAGGAGGGTTGTGAGGAAGGTCCCCAGGGCCCACGACAGGACGCCCGTGGATTTGGCCGTCGCTGTCGTCACTGACCCCTTTTGTGCTGGACACGGGAGCCCTGCCTGACGGCGCCTGGTCCGGCCCCAGCTCTGGGCGGAGCCCGGGGGCTGGTAAGACCAATAAGACTCATGCTTGACCCTGAAGGGACATTGCAGTCCCGAGGGGACAGGGCATGTAAATAGAAGCAAGCCCTGCGGGTCACAGGTCTTGAGGGYGGGGACCAAAAAGCAGTGTGTGCGTCCCTCAGAGGAAATGGCCAGGACCTCCAAGGAGGGAAGCAGCCAAATTCCAGCAGAGGATGCAGCTCCACCGCCCAGGGTGGAGGTGGCCTCGGGGATTTGGGGCTTGGTGGTGTGAAGGGTCAGGACACCCCGCAGGACCTTAATAGGCCCCAGAGATCAGGGGTGACCTGAGACAAAGGTGCCCAGCTCCTGTCTCTACARCAGAGACCCCAGGGCCGGGCTGAGACCCTGTGGGACGCACATGTGCTGAATGGAAGGAGTCTCCCACCGGGGGCTGCGGGGGCATTGGTTCAGGACCCTCCCACAATGCCCCGGGAAGCTGTCCTGCCCCCTGTCTGATTTGCTGGCCTCACAAAGAACCTAAAACAAATGGCCTGCTKGCTGCAGTAAGGATGCTATTAATAACAGCTGTGCTGGTTGTGCTTTTAAAAAGTAGAGGGGATGGCTGCTACCATTTAATTAGCACCGTGTGTTTGCCAGGAACCACGCTGAGAGCTTTATATGGGCTATTTCACTTACTTGCTCCAGAACTCTGGAGGCAGAGCCCTGTTATTAGCTACATTTCACAAAGGAAGACAGGAGGCTCAGAGAGGGCAAGTGGCTTCCCCAAGATCACACAGCAACAAAGTTGGRAAGTGGGATTCCACCCCCAGCACATCTACTGTTAAAAACCAATTCCCTGGTCCCTGGCAACACAAGAATAAYACGCCCTTTCTTGTGCTTCTTTCCAGTGTGCAGACAGCGGTGGATTGTAGCAACGGCRGCAGGAAAGAAATGTAAGTTGAACCCCAAGTAGAGCTGAGCAGCTTACAGAAGTGAGCCCCTGGCCGTCTGTGTGCAGTTCACTTGGGAAACAGCCCCACCCACTTGGAAAGGGATCACCAAAGCCAACAAGAGCTGGACTTCACAGTCGTCGCCTATAATATGGGGGATGTGTGACTGAACCCCCAGTTTCATATAGACCGAGAGCAGCCGGTGCCTTTTCACACCATGTCCCCAAGCACCTTCCGTGGCTCCCCATTGCCCAGAGCAGACTTTTGGGTGGATGTTTGTGTCCTGCACATTTTGACCCTACCTTTCCATGTCACCCATGCCTCCACCTTTAAGGACCCCCACACCTATGTGTATCGAAATGTCTTCCACTGAAAATTTCTCTCTGCAGTTTCTGTGTGGCCAGGTCCTGACCCTCACAGGACCCATGAGTCACAGGTCCTGACCTCCACTACCACCACTTGGGACCTTCCTCGTGTCCCCAAGAAGCAAATCAAGGCTCCCTACTGAGCCAATCCTAGCCTCTCTTCTCTGTCCCTCCCTACAGTACGGTCATTTCTCCTTTATTCTGTAGTTACTTAATGAGGTGTGTTTCCACTCTGCTTGGCGAGAGTCTTGAGGGCAGGGTCAATGTTGAGTCCATGGGGACTGGTACAGAGTGTCCTTGACAACGCGCAAGCGCGCACCCACACACACACACACACACACACTCTCACGCAATTTCCTGGTTCACCAACCAGGACATAATTATTGAGCATCTCTGTAGACCTCTGCCTGGGCCGTTTTCAGAATCACAGAGCACAGAGTAAAATCCCCAGTTCACAACCACATTCCAGTTGAGAGAAGGGTTAAACCTGCCACATTTGCTATTTCACRGACATCTTATTTGGTATAAAATTCAATGCCAAGTCGAGTACAGTGGCCCACATCTGTCACCCCAGCAGCTCGGGAGGCTGAGGCAGGAGGATCGTGAGTTCAAGGCCAGCCTCAGCCACAGCGAGGCCCTAAGCAAGCTCAGTGAGACCCTGTCTCTAAATAAAACACAGAATAGGGCTGGGGGTGGGGCTCAGTGGTGAGGGTCCCTGAGTTCAATCCTTGATACCCCCCMAAAAAAATCTGTTTTGGAGCATGTTTCTCCCCCAGGAAGAGTGCAGAGGTCAGTCACACGGGCCTTGGAAATGAAAGGAGCAGGGCTTAGACCTCGATGTCACCAACTAGCTGGACGACCTTGGCTGAGACCCAGTTTGGCCCCTGCAGACCCCACGACTCCCATGTGTACGCTGGGGACAGCCCTGACTCCTGCTCCTGAGGGACGAGGCACAAGGTCCTGCCCGGCTTGTGCTCTGGAGCAAAGGTCTAGTTATTGGGGGTTCCACGGTTGTCCTTGTGACGCAGAGTCCTGTGTTCTGATTGTAGAGACAGCTTCTCCGTCATCAGCTCCCAGCCAGAGGGCAGCCTGCAGTCCTGGCTGAGCTGCACTCTGTCCCTGGCCACAGACACGGCGAGGAGCCCCTCTCGACAGTCCGCCGCCAGCAGCTACACCCTCAGTGCCAGGTAAGAGCGCCACCTGTGCCGCGGCTTGGCTGACAGCCCCGAACCCCATGGGCAAGGTTGTCCTTCAGGTCTTCCGGCCTCAGCGAGGACAGCCTTGGTCCTCACGGTCTGAGCCATTCCCCTGTCCCTTCCTGACTGTGTGACTCTCTGGGTCTCCTCTTCCTTTACTTTCAACCATGAAATCAGGTCATATCCACTGACTCAAAGGGTCGAAATGAAGAGGGTCTCTTGCCAACCTCTCCAAAGCATGGTTTTCTGATTATTGTAAATAGCAGTGTGAACTTTAAGATGTCAATAGTTATGATTACAGTTGACTTCTACTTAAGACATGATAGTTTTCCATTTATAGATAGTTAGTTTTACAATTTTCCTTGTTAAAAAAAAAAAAACCTAGTTACTAAAGTGTTTCATTTTAGCCAGGCACCGTGGCAACGCCTGCAATCCCAGGGGCTCGGGAGGTTGAGGCAGGAGGATTGCAAGTTTGAGGCCAGCCTCAGCAACTTAGCGAGGTACTYAGCGACTCAGCAAGACTCTGTCTCTAAATAAAATATAAAGAAGGGCTGGGGATGAGGCTCAGTGGTAAATCACCCTGGAGTCAATCCTCAGTACCAAACAAGCAAACAAATAACAACAAAAAAGTTTTGTTTTTGTTATTGTTTATGAGGGGGAGTGGCTAGAGAGAAAAGAAACTAAAGCCAGGTGCCGCCGTGGTGCACACCTGCAGTCCCAGGAGGCTGAGGCAGGAAGATTTCTTGAGTCTAGTTGAGACCAACCTGGGCAATATACTSAGAATTTTTTAAAAAATAAATAAATAAAAGAAGGAAGAAAAAAAGAGAAAAGAGAAAGTTGAGCTGGACGGTGTTTCATTTTATTGGAAGAGAGGACCACACCGGTTCCATGCCACCCATGCCGGTCCTCTTGGCCCTGGCCACGAGGAGATGCTCCTGGCCCACAGGATTGCCCGGAGCGGGCTCCCTGACAGACTGGCCCCGGGGTGCACCCTTCCTCCCATGAATTAAGTCCACCCTCCCTGGGCTTCCAGCTCCGTTTCTCCGAGTCCGCCTGGTTTTCCTCTCCAGGGCCACCCTCTTGTAATCAGGGCTTCGTGGCCATAGATCAGGAGTCACGGATGAAGCAGACGCATGATCAAGATGACATGCACAGGCCCCCAACCCAGGGCCCAAGAGACAGACAGAAGAGTCGGAGGCCAACGGGGCCCCGGCCTCCCTCCTGACTGGAGCCTCGTTGGCTCAGAAGCAGGGGCTCTCTCCACCAAGAGAGGGGGCAGGGGCTCACACTGCCCCCCCGGGCATGTTCAGCAAATGGCAGATGCCTGGCCCACATCGGGCTGATCCTAGACGGAAATACTTGAGGTAGAAAATGTGAGTGTACCCCTTTAAGCACGGGGGGATCTGGGGATCATCTGATTTTGCTGTTAATTAAAAACAAAGGTCTGTGGAGGAAGGATCGTGTCCTCCGCAAAAGTTAGGACTCTCCCCTTGACCTCGGTCTCCCCTGCCCACAGTACGTGAGGCAGCAGAGGCAGGAGTGGGGAGGCCAGAGGAGAACACCGATGCTCCGTCACACGAGGTGCAAGTTTCATAATCAAGTTATAGCAAATAGAGAGACGGCGGGGCGTGGGGTGCTTTCCATGCACCRTCTAAAGTCAGAGCATCTGGAGTCCAATCTTTTATTTGCAGATCCACAGCTGTGTGATTTGGGGCAAATTGCTTAACCTCTCTGTTCGTGCCTCCTCATGGATCAGCCGGGGTTGTGGTCAGGGTAAATGTGGGGATGTGCATGGTGTTCTGCACCCAGAGCCTGGTGCCTAGGACAGGCTCAGCTAATTAGCTGCTTTAGGAGCATGAACACCTCCTGAATGCTCAGAGCAACACCAGGAGGTGGATGTCATGGGTCACTGTTAGGAAGATGGTGAGACTCCGCAGGCCCCAGCAGCCKACTCTGCACTGGTCTGAGCCAGTCCTCTGCCGCCCCCCAGGGAGGGGGTCCTCAGCAGCCAACTCAGGCCTCCTCCCCCTGGCCCTGCGTTCTCCCTCCAGGTCCTGGGGCAGGCCCAGTGAGTGAAAGGGCCCGCACCTAGAACCACGGAGGGTCAGGGGGCAAACGAGCCACTTGGACACTTGTAAGAAGGAACTCCTTGTGTCTCCTGGGGACATGTCAGTGTCCCAGGGCTGGCTTACAGTCTGTGCTCAATAAAGGTTTGGTGAATGGATGATTATCATAGCAGTAAGGCTAGGGCAGAAATAGGAACCTTATTTAGCCATAGCTCGGTAGCCATTGTGGCTCAGAGAGGGTGGATGGTTGGCGCAATGTCACACAGCRAGTCAGTGGAAGAGTTAGGATCTGGACCCCTGCTGAAGCCTGTATTTGGATTTGCCCCACTACCATGGCTCTCTGATGTTGGACTGATCACCTGGCAGAGTGTGTGGGGGACAGTCTGTCCTGTTACTACAAGTGCTTAAGGAATGTCATTTAGCATTCAACATTCAGCAGAAGAGGTTGATCCAGGGCCTACTGTSTGCCAGGGCCCRTGGCGAGAAGCCCTCATCACTGTGAACCTTTCCTTTGAATTAAAATTCAAACCAGAATTCGAGACACTCTGAGTTGGAAAGAAGCATCGGGCTTCTCTAGTCCAAAGTGCTCATCACAGAGACGGAGAGCGGAGTTCTGCGGAGGGCGGATCTCACCCGAATGACAGTGGTCGCTGGCCAGGGCCTCCCCTCCAGCTCTGTGAGTTGCACAGTCCTCTTGTGAGGACTTCCTCCCTCCAGAGCGTACAGTAAARCGCAGGTAAATGTTGAAAATGGAGATGCGGATTGCCCTGGTTTGATCACTGCGTGTTACAGGCTGGACTGAATGATCTCACCAGACCCCAAAATGTGTAAAATCAAAATTAATTTCCTACATATTTTTTCCTTCCTTTCCTTTTCCTTTATTAGTATTATTTTTTAATTTTTGCAGTACTGGGGATTGAACCCAGGGCCTCACACTTGCTAGGCAGGTACTCTACCACTGAGCCACATGCCCAGCCCTTTTTATTTTACTATGAGACAGACTCTCACTAAGTTGCTGAGGCTGGCCTCAAACCCATGATCCTCTTGCTTCAGCCTCCCAAATAGCTGGAATACAGGGGGGTGGGCTACCATGCCCAGTTCTTCAAATACATTTCTAGTGGGCTCTCATTTCAGGATTCCAACACTGTACAGAATTTCAACTCTTTTTTGTTCTGAATCCAAACCTATCATGCCCAGTTTCAGAGAAATATTTATAGCTAGATTCAAAATGTCTGAGCTTTAGAATGGAATCTCCACTGGGGTCAGGGATGGGGGGATTCAATGATATCCTAGGATAAATACCATTAGTATGATAATGAGAAGAATATTGGATTTCAGGAAAACTAATAGAGTTATCACTCTTCTTCTAAAAGAAAAGTGTTGGACRAGGTAAAGAAAGGATGATTACAAATCTGTATCTCCAGATAAAAGAATTAATTTCTTTCTTCATATAAATAAAATGATTTCCTGATTCCTAACATGACGTGAAGTTGAGGTACGATTCATTTTATGTTCCAGTCATGCCTGGGTAGGTGATCATTGCCCCCAGMACACTCAGTAGTATTACGAATAAAAAAGAAATTAAAATAGAAGACTAAAATCCTCTTGTCCAACTCTCCAATCCTAGCTCCCTTTCCACAGGGATCAGCCATCTTCTGTTTGGAGCGAACCCTTCCACACCTCTCTCTCTGTAATTATGTTATGTATATGCACTTGTAGCAAAGGGCATATCTGTTGGCTTTTAAAACCATAAATTATATGATGCTATTTTATGTATACTATTTCTGAATTCTGATGGTGTGTTTCTTTCCCTTCACAATGTATCTTGGAGATCTTTCCTTACCTGTACACTAAAGCCCATCTTATTCTTTTAAATCCCTGCAAAAGCCAGGCGCAGTGGCACATGCCCATAATCCCAGCAGCTCAGGAGGCTGAGGCAGGAGGATCTTGAGTTCAGAGGCAGCCTCAGCAACTTAGTGAGGCCCTAAGCAACTCTGGAAGACGCTGTCTCTAAATAAAACATAAAAAGGGGCTGGGGACGTGGCTCTATGGTCAAGTGCCCCTGAGTTCAATCCCTGGTACCAAAACCAAAAGAAAAAAAGAAACTTAAATCCCTGCCAAAGATCTCAAGGTTGGTCCTGCTTTGCTGAACTGTGGGTCTTCATATTTCACTTTCAGGTGCTTTCCAGATCTTTCCTATAAATCTGTCAGGCTTCAGGAAACACTCGTCCCCAGGCACCTGTGCGAGTGGTTCTCCAGGTCACAGGGCCTTCGCGTGTTCAGTTGGCGCAGAGCTTGCCAAATGGGCCCAGCCTCCTCCCTGCTAGGAGACTCGGTGGAGGAGCAGAGCAAAGAACTGGGAGGTGTGAGTCCCTGTGTCACCTGGCGTATGGCCGGGCTCCATAGACGAGCCTCTAGGTTCTTTCCAGTTTGACTGAGAAAGAAGGTCACTTTAAAAACAGAAGAGAGTGGAAGGCAGTCTCCTGCCACGGCCTGAACTCACAGCCCRCACTATTCATCAGAAGATGTCAGCCCAGAGAAATACACCCAGCCCCGTGATTGACCGCTCGCCTGCCGCAGCTGCTGCTGAGAGATGCAGGTGCTTCTGGGGACGGAGACACTCAATCACCTCTGTGGCCCCTGGGGATGGCATTTATGGGCTTGGTGGTGGCAGCTAAAGTTTGTTCAGGGAGCTCTGTGCGCCTGGTGGCAGGTGGTACCAGGGCTGCCCAGGGTTGGCACGCCCCTGTCCTCCAGCCCCCCTGAAGCTGCGGGCTCTCTAATGCCCTCCCAGCCCCGCGGGTTTCCAAGAGGACACTGGGCCCGACTCGCTGAGACTCCCATCTGCTGCCCCAGCCGTGGTCCCACAGGGYGTCAGGGCCTGGGCACTGCAGGATGCTCCCTGGTCAGCCGCCGGCCCCATCT